TACGACCTGTATGGGAGGTCAAATGCGTCTACGGGCTGGAAACCAGGTGCCAGAGAACTGCCATCGCACACTAGGCTGCGGGGACCATGGTTGTCTGATCCTGGTATAGCAGACGCTCGCAAACCTTAAGGCCCAAAAGGGTGATACGCAGCCTTGCATTTAGCCGCACACACACATACACCCGCTTTGCTTTTTCTTCAGTTTTCTTTACGTCAGTCGATTTGTTATTTGATTGCTCCTGCTCATGGTCGATCAGGAGACATCTCTCAGGTGTACTTCCGAATAAAATATCTCTTCTGCGGGTTTGGGATCCGCAGCAATTCCGCTGAAAACGGAATAGGGCACAGTAGCTATGACACAGCCAGGCGATCCCTCTGCGCGGGCCACACACAACCCCCCTCATCTCAACACATGCCAGGCGTTAACCAGGGGATCTTGGACCTCAAATATGTGGTCAGGCTTTAAAGGTAACCTTAAGAGCGCGGGCAATTGCAGTCTAACCCTCGTTCTTGAGTACGACCGAGGTACCACCTTCGGTTAAAAAAACCTTTAGAGCGCCGTAATAGGTTCGAGCATGCCAGACTTATTTTAATGAGGGATGTGTTGAATAACCATTAGCATCGACCCCATCCTTTCTCTCTAACTTCCCCCATGTACCAATGACATGTCGGCCGTCTGACGAGGTCGGGCGCAGTAGTAGGCGTCGAGTGACCTGTCTGTCTAACGCGTTGATGGTGCCCTTCTTGCGCTTAACAGTGAAACTATTATTATTATTATCACCATCGTTGGTCTTGTTGAGGGTTACCGCTAAGTCACAGTCGTTTAACGCCTGTTTTAATCTTCTGCGACCTCCGCTTGGGTCTAATGCAGATGTAGACGGCTCGGAAACCAATCTGCCCCCAACGGGGTGGACTGGACTGAAAGTTTTTTTTTTCCTGCCAAACTGCGTTTACGTCCGGTTCTGTTGCCAGGGCCCTTCGAGCCTGCGCATCCGTTGCCCAGCTCTCGGTGAGTCATGCTCGTCCGGTCGTTTGTCCGGCTGGGTGCGCCGCGTCTCGCTGCTGAACGAGGCTGCTCCAATGTCCACCCCCGATCGATGGAACGCTTAGCAAATGAAGCTGCCAGAGCGGTTGCACTTACGCCCCAGCGACCCCCCTGGACGCGTAGGCGGTGAAGTGTTTTTCCCGTACCTTCGATGGGGGGAGTAAACATGTGCACTGTGCGCACGGTTCATGGCCTGGTAACCTCCCTCCCCCCCTTCACCACCTTAGCGCTGAAACGATCCTTTGGCGGTGGCCGGGTCAGAGGACGTAGTTAGCGCCGTCCTGATACGGCCGTATATATTTTATTTCTATCAGAATTCAGCCGCTACATTTCTTCCAGCCCAGAGGATGTCCAACCTGACGGCAGAGAAGGGCCAACCAGAGACAGAGGATATTTAGCGTTGATGTGTATTGTTAACATGAGCGGGAGGCTTACATGAACATTCCTGTCCTGCCAATGCCGTCTTCAACTCGGGACCGGTGGTACTACCTAGGATTTGGACCACCCTCCCTCCCCACCCCCATCCCCCAGATCATGCATAAGAGCTGCGCGCGTCATGTGGCGGGGGGGGGGTGTCTTGCAGTTTGTCAGTGATTTCATACTTTAAGTAATACCTCCCCTCCTCTCTCCACTCCGTTGCAGGGAAAAGAAAGCCCAGCACAAACCGCACGGTCTGCAGGTTCACAGACAGTCGCCGGCATCAGTGGCGCCGTCTTCCGCCGCCCCCACACCTCTCATCACTGTGGCCACGCTCAAGTCCGTATTTGACACCGAAACCCCGCCTGCGGCTGGTGGTGACCTTAGCGCGAAGCTGCCGACCGTATTCTTCTGCAATCTGGATGTGAGTCCTTTAAAATCCCTGAGTGATATTGTCACTAAGATTGACGATGAGTTCCAGGCGTCCATGCACTGAGTATATTTGTGATTGGACGATAGGCTTGTACTTGTTGGTCCGTCAGGCCTGATTTGGATGATTATGATGATGATGGGGAAGGGGAAGTGGGACTTGTGAAGCCCCATTGAGTCAAAACAAGAGCAGGTGGACGCGAGATAGAACCTTCGGTCTATCTACACCATGACACGGCCTGCTCCTCGCAATGCGAACCAGGCTTCCCACGCGAATTCGCCAGCTTTCGAGATACGCGCCCAATTGTGTCGAAACCGTCACAGAGGTGTGAATACCGAGTTCGGCATGGAGCATGTGACCCGGACGCTAGGCGAGGTCACTGTGTAATGACTCTTCGTGAGACAAGGCATCTTATGTGAATGTTAATTCGTCCAAACGACTGCCCCACGTACAAGGGGTATGGAGTCAGGGCTCTGTAGGATGTTTTTTTGTGAATTGTGTTTTCTAGACGCGCATTGAATCTTTCCTCAACCCCTGACTGGCCGCCATTTAGTCCATTAGGAGCACGCGGTAAACGCCTTTTGAGCAAATCGACACCCTCCCGGTGTGCTAATTGGCATGACACGAAAAAGAGGCGTACAGACAGGATATCTCACTTGTCAGACTGGTTTTTTCTTGGCTAAAGCGCATAATCTCAACGTCTCTGTCCACCCAGTATTCAAGCCAATCTAAAGTTAATTGCCGGTCATCTGGGCGTTTTCATCGGCGCGATTGACTTCCACTCGTTGCACTCCTTCCCACACTTTTACTGACAGAATCCCACTACTCCGTTTGCCCAACGATGTGAGGAAAAGGGTAAGGGGCGTTTACCTACGTTGGTCTTCTTCGACCATCGGTTTCGATGATGTCCACCGTGTGCCCCACAGTTGCCGCAGCAATGGGTGCAGGGACGGTGACTTACGCAGGGGTTATAGTGCCAGTAGACTTGCGTAGCATCTACCTACACTCCCTCCTCCTCCCCCGCCTGAGCCCGGTGTCAAGACCAAGTCAAGAAGACCGGAGACAGGGGAGGCCGCAGGTGGATGGCTTGGACGGATCGTCGCCTTGGCGCTCCACTCCGCACCCCCTGGTCCACACGCAAATGACCAGGATTTTGACCACAAGACAATGGGGTGATGGCAGTGGTCCAGTTGTGCGACGAATGCCGACAACAGGGTCCGCCAGCGCACCCCGGGAATGTTGGCATTTGTTATTGCGCACAGATAACGCCTGCCAGTGTCCGATGTGGCCCCCCTGTTGGTCCAGCGCACACACACTTCACCAGGATTTTTCACCAACAACAACTACACCCCACAGGGGTCAGAAGGACGAGGATGTTGACTGGGTAGCCATGCCCACCACCTGTATACCACGCGGCAGCACAAGTACATCTACCGGCAGGGAACTGCCAGAGCATATTAGGCTACGACGGTCATTGTTTGTTGATATTTGCATAGCACACGCTCTCTCAGACCTTTTGACGCTTTCTGGTGGATACTCCAATTTAGAAATTGTTGCTTTTTATTTTCCTCAGAACTTAACTGGGAACTTGAAGTAGATCAGTATATTCTAGTCTATAGACTCAGACTGAAATTTTTATGCACGACTATTTGGGCCGAAGAATATACCGATTTACTCCAAGTTCGCAGTTTATTTCTGAGGAAATTAAAAATCAGCAATTTCTAAAATGGAGTATCAACTAGAAAGCAGAGGAGGAATGTTTGGGGACCCACTTACCAGCTGAACCCCACGCAGTTGTGTCCTGCAGCGGCAGATTGTCGGCGAAACACGGGTAGTCAGCCTAGGCGCCGAAAGAATTCTCGAATTTAGCCGTCGGTGTCGCAAACAGCTCGTACCAGATTTCTTCGCGTTTATTCCCTTTGCCAACTCCCTAAAATGTGACGGCAAAGTCGATTAGGTGAGATGACCAGAAACACTACTGGGCTGAACTGACACCGGTGACACTCGAAAAATCCTTCGCATTAATGGTAGATCTTCCATACTGACTAATTTTGTTAACGGTGTGAGCAGCGGCTTTACTTCTGACAACTCAGCCAAGGTCGAGTGTTAGTGTAAGCACTTTGGGGACGTTGTCAACTTTGATGACACGCCCATCATCCCTCTCTATGCGATAATTAGGCGACACAACGGCAAGGCGTCTCGAGACACCAGTATATTCTAGCTGAAGTCTGTGAGTCCGGCATCGACTCTCCGACACCCTGACTGCATGAGGCAATTAAGATGGTGAGATTTGATCGTTCCCGGCGGCTGGGGCTTAAGCATCTCTGTGCCCATCTTTTACAAGGGCCGATGAAGGACATTGCGAGATCAGCAGTAGCATCATAAGCCCCGTCAACCCTTTTTGCGAAGTGTACTTGACTAAACCAAGCTGCATTTTCAGCCGGATGTAAACGCACCGAGTTGGCGACGCCATACCCACCGCCAGCTGGTGATCATCCACTTTGTGGGTTTCTGTCCGTCAGTTCTGCTGGGGTGTTACATAGCCCCCCCCCCCCCCCCTGTAGATGCCGTACTGTCCTCAGTGCTCCTGGGGATAATGGGGGAGGGCATAGTGACTTCGACTGCTGCTGGGGGGACTTGGTCATAGGGGATAATGGGTAGGGAGTCGGGTGTGCAGATTGGTAGACGACCGCGGTGGGGTTTGAGTTTGTTGTGAAGGGTGACGCGTGGGGTTGAGAAGCGTCACGTAAGAGATAGGTCGTGAGGAACAGGGTATCTAAGACGACAAAGGGGCCTTGCCACGGCTAATGGAACTTGGTTGACACTCCTCGCTGGGGTATCGGGTTGTGGTGCATAACTAAGTCGCCGATTTGATGTGTGGTTCCGGTCGAACGGTAGTCGCACTGTGTTTTCTGGTGAGGTGCCGATCGTCTCGCGCCCCGCGTTATAGGCGGTCCGAATTATTTCGCGGAGTTGTGAGGCCTATGTGGTAACGGTAGTGGGGTCAGGTACGTCTAAGTGGTGTTGGAGATCTACTGGAGGACGTAGCTCGCATCCGCTCCAGAGGTAATAGGGTATGAAGACCAGTGGAGGTGTGGATTGAGCTTCTGTATGCCATAAGGCAGAAGGGTAGTTGTGTGTCCCAGTCATGCTCGTGACTGTCTTTACAAAAGGCGAGAAGGAGGTTGTGAAGGGTGCGATTGGTTCGTTCGACTAGACCGTTGCCTTCGGGGTGTTAGGGTGTTGTGCGGGTTTTGTTGACGCCCAGAGTGCGGCAAACTTCCTGGAAGAGTCGCGAGTCGAAATTGCTCCCACAGTCAGTGTGGAAGGCTAGGGGGGACGCCCCAACGGAAAATCCAGGACCTGCAGGCGACGGAGTTGGCGTCTCGGCGGAGTAGGCGCACCGCTTCGACCCATTTCGTGAAGTAGTCAATCCTCAATAGTATGTATTCATACCCGCGTACGGATATCGGGAGCGGCGGGCCGATAGTGTCCAGCTCCACGCGTTCTCCGGGGAAACCCGTGGTCATGGGTTGCGTGGGATGCCCGTACAGGTGATTTAAAGGACGCGCATGTATCGCAGGACTGGCAAAAGTGGTCTGTGGCCACCAGAACCTTGCGTGTGCGGCCACTTCAGTGCGCTTCTGCCCGCAATGACCCAAGCTGCATTTTCAACCGGATGTGAACGCACCACCGAGCTGGCGGCGCCTTGCCCCCCGCCAGCTGCTGACCGCGCACTTTGTTTACTTCGCCGCCACGTTGGATTCCGTTCAAAAAGTACCCGTGACACGAAACGGAACTATAGACGATATGTCGGCCAAAACAGCCATCATGCTGCTGCTGCTGCTGCTCCACCGCCGCGTACGTTCTGGTCTGTTTGGTGTTCGATCTGAACCCACCGTTCTGCGGTTACACGCGTAGACAGGCTGTGTGTACCTTTGTCAGTCTCTGCGCCTCAGCCTACCCCCCGATCGTCCTCAGATCGTCTTGTCAGCGGTGTCAGGTGGGTGAGAGAGGGATAGATGCTGTGGAAGTCTGCCAGCACAAGTCTCTGGTGATACGCCTACCCTGTGGGGCACAGGTTGGACGTCGTTAGTGGCAGTCAAGCTGTCAGGCAGGTCGTGTGAGAGAGACCGAGTTCAGATGAGGAGTCTATTTGCCGCTGAATGAAAAACGTCCTTGACGTTGTTGTCAGGACTGTATATCACTTGACAGCGAGCTGGTTGCAGACCACTGTCTTTGTCCTCGTCTGGATACTTACTTACCTGTACTTGATACGGCTGCGATCATGCCTGATGGAGCCGACCTCGATGATGTCATGCGTGACGATCCGCGGCAGCAGATATGGACAGCTCCGCCCATTCTCTTTGCCAGTGACGGCGATCGAATACGGAAGGTCCAAGAAGTACCTCCATGTCGTGACGGACTGCGTCGAGCCAGGTTTTGAGTTGCCCCCCTCTTCGACGCCTCTAATGGGGCAACGGTGCCGGATCGAGGGCAGTAACACTGAGCTCCTGGGGTGGACGACGAAGAATATGTCCGAACCACCTCAGTCGTCTTTCTTGGATGGCCTGAGTTATCCGTGCGCTGTTGTCGCAGCGAGCGCGGACTATCTCATTTGAGACGAAGTCGGGGGACTTCACTCGAAGGATGATCCTCAAGCATTCGTGATCAAATACCTCCAGTTTTCGCTCCTCCTCCACGCGCAAAGCCCAGCATTCAAAACCGTAGAGAAGGACAGATCGGACAGATGCACGACACACGCGAATGTAAGTGGCGATGGAGAGGTCGCGTCGGATCCATAGGCATTTTCGAAGGCCTGATAAAACCCGGCGGGCAGCATTGATTCGGGAGACAATGTCAGCCTTACTCTGTCCATTAGGCAGCAGCCTCGCCCCGTGGTATCTAAAACTGTCTACTTCTTCAAGTTGACAACCATCAATCCCGAGGGTTGCCCTCTCCTGGTCAGGGATGCGGCTTGAAAACACTTTAGTCTTTTATGGATAAACCGGCCGATTTAGCGACCGTGACACCATTGACTGCAGATTACCAAAACTTGAAGCAAGTAAGGCGATATCATCAGCATAGTCTAGATCAGTCAGTCGGTGTCCGGGTACAAACTCAACACCGTCACCTTCGTGTAGGGTCCTCCCGAGAATCCAGTCAATAGCGTAGTTGAGCAGAATGGGCGACAGGATACAACCCTGTCGAACGCCAGACCGAATACCGAACGTTTGGGTAAGATTGTTGCGGACCAGGACTCTCGCAGTAGTGGAGCGATGATAGGCCTTGATCATGGCGATGATTTTTGTCGGTACACCATCTAGCGCCATTATCCGCCACAGGGACTCACGATGGACGGACTCTAACGCGGCGGCAATGTCAACTAGGCAGGCGGCCGTCGGTTGTTGGTAGCTATGGCGGACTTCGAGAATGCGCCTCAGTGTAAATATCTGGTCTGTGCATCCACGTCCAGCACGAAATCCGGATTGGTTGGGCCTCGTCCTTGCGTAATGCACAGCCTGGAACGCCTGAGTAGAACAATAGCGGGGATCTTCGCAGCAACGTCGATGGGGCTTATGTCGCGGTAGTTCTCACATCTTGTGTTATCTCCGTTCTTGGGGTACAAGGATGCCCGAGTCCCAGTTATCAGGAGAAACCTCGTCTCTCCACGCTCGTCCAATCACCTCATGGAGCCAGGGCGCCATGCGGAACTTGAGCTGACTACTATGTAATCAATCTGATTGGCTGTATGGCCGTCGTTTGAATATCAGGTCAGCAGATGTTTTTTGCGATGCTGAAAACATGTGTTGGTGACAAGCAGTCGGTTTCGATCAGCGGAGCTCAGCAATCTCCCACCATTTTCACATTGGGAACCAAGCCCAAAGCGACCAAGAAGCTGACTCGTTGTGGAGTCGCCAGATCCAGTTCGAACATTCCAATCGCCAGCAACAATCAGCAGATCGCAGCGAGGCAGTCTTACAACTAACGCTTGCAACTGCGAGTAAAACACCTCTGTATCGCGCATTTCGGCAACTGAAGTTGGTGCGTACACAGCGACGATAGAGATGTTCGTGAAGTGACCCTTCAGTCGCATGTAGGTCGTCCAGTCATTGACTGCTTCCCAAGCAAGTAGCATGGGATTCGCTTGCTGCGATAGGGCGATCGTCACGCCGTGCCGACCAGAAGAATCGCGCGGGCCGCTGTGGTGCAGAGTGAAGTGTGATTCGACTCCAGGGATCTTTATTTCGCGGGAGCCTGAGTCAGGAAGTCTAACTTCAGACAGACAGCAGACATCCAAGTTGTATTGATCAAGACTGCGTGCGGTCGGACTTTGGGTATCGGAGTCCAGGAACGTTCGCACATTCCAGCATCCAATACCAAGAGTCCGTCCCCGATTGAGTAGTCCAGCTCGCATACCATCCGCCCGCACCACTTGACCAGGGTTGCGGAGCGCGTCGGTTCCCGCGGACGCCGTAGCATGGGTCGTAATACTGCAGTCGGACATATTTCATGAGGTTTCTTGGGAATTTCGAATACGGGCAGGTCCCCAACGGCCGCTCAGATTATTTGTTCCAGGTTATCTCCTCTAGCGTTTTGGCTTAAAAGCCTAACCACAAAGCAGCGGTGGCAAGCAAGCTTATTTAATGGCGGTTTACGGTCGCTATGTCACAATGCCGTCATTGGGCTTTGCGGCTTTTTATAAGCCTTTCAGTGTGTCAGACCTCAGTCCACCGCACTCTGGTAGCAATGTAGCTGCTGGTCCGCGACTGCTTATTCGTCAGACCTGCGTCTGTAGCCAGCAGCTAGGCTAACGGGCAACCTACCTTCCCGGTTCGTCTGGATCCCTGCAATCGGGAGTATAACCGTCGAAGGTGTGGGAAACTGGACTGGTCGTGTGGCGTTGAATAGTCACAATCGCAGCTCGAAATACGCGGGACCGCAGCCCTCCTGATGGGGTGCTTTACGCAAAAAAACCGACGACTGAATTATTCCCGCCCGACTGCCAGGCCGTTGAGCTCCTATCTATAAAAATCTTTTTCAGCCGTTCGATGTACCCATCTGGCCTTCAACAGGACTGTATCCCGACGCCCATTTATGTTCACCACTGACTGGGCTCTCGGAGGGACGCCGACTGACTGATCTCATCCTACAAGCATCAGGTTTTAATGATCTACAGTCTGTGGTGTCACGGGTGAATGAAATCTGTCGGGTTGTTCGCTGATCCTCAGAATTCGGTTTCCGTCGTTGTAGGGAAGATAGGTGAGTCACTACGGCCGTCAAGCCTGGAGTTTTGTAGGTCGTAATATGATAAAGGTCGGCTAGATTAGTTGTAATCTCACCCGCTCCAAGCGCAGATCAGTACTAGTAAACCATGCGTTGACGGTAGTGCCGGTATATGCCTCAACCGTTTCCGCTGTATCGTGGCGGACAGTTGCCAAGACTGGAGCAGACACGAAAGACGCCATCATTACCCAACTCATTTCATTTCATTTTGTCCTCACTGCCAAGGTCCGCTAAATGCGTGGAATAGCTTTGCCTTATCAACCCACCCTATGCACAACAAGACGTCGTCTGTGAGACCCCCCTCCACATGCCCCAACTGTAACTTCACGTCTCCCTCTGGTGCAGACTCGGTGCGTTTGTTTCCTCCACTGTGACCGCACATTTCAGTCACACATCGGCATAGTGGGACCCCGGTTAAAATCCTTCATGCCCATCCTCCTACCCCCACACCGTATCCCCACCTTAAGCCACCGAATGACCCTGTTTGGTCATACAACAGTTTGACTATCGCGAACGACAACATCCACCGCGTGCCCCACGGAGTGGGATGCAGGACTTGCAAAGCATCTATCACACTCTCTTCTTCCCCACACACCTGGACAACAGGAGGTTGGCCTGGGGTGCAGTGATTAGCAAAGCGCCACGCGCCACACACGGCCCGACATGCGCCGGTTTCAGTAAGGGTGGCTTGAATGTCATAAAGGCCACATTAATATGGAGCTGTTGTAGTCTGACTCGGTTCTGAGAAGGGCCGAGTTACCCCGTTGACCGGTTTAAACCACTACTACTATTAGCTTTGCGGACGTCTGCTATGCCATGATCAGCAAATCGTGGCCCTCGCAGCCTGGCGTGCGCTGGCAGTTCTCCGGTACCCCGTTCTCGGGCGGTAGATGCGGTTGCGTGTATGGCTGCCCAGTCATCCACGTCCTTTCTATTGTTGTTGTTGGTCAAAATCCCGGTCAAGTGTTTGTTATGGGTTAGGCGTGGAGCGTCAAGGTGCGGGTTCAGCCGCGCCCTCCCCGTCTTCAGTCTTCCTAACTCTGTCTTGATGCGGGGTTCAGGTGTGGGGGGGAGGGAGAGAGTGAGGTAGATGCTGCGCAAGTCTACCCTCACTATAAACTAACTTACGCGCAAGTCACTGTGTGCCTGCCTCATCTTGCTGTGGAGCACACGGTGGACATGGTCGAATGCGGCGGTCGAACTATTACACTACCGCGTCGTGATAAATCCAAACGCGTCACAAATAGTTGCGGTCAGGATGGATTTCCCAGTGTCGGTCCGACCTCTTTTCCCTCTCCTAGGCCTGGCAACCAACGGGTGATGGGATCGGGTACAGTGGGTGACGCGGCGTGCGTGTCACGCACACGCACGCCTGTATGGCAGTAGTTAGGGGCTGCCTGTTTGGCGCCCCTGCCGTGATCCGCATCGTCACATCTCACCTAGTACTCTTGTCCACATTGTCTCCACGAATTTACTCACCACATGAACTGTTCCGGCTTGTAAGGCTTCAAGCCGGTCCTCGTTTGAAACGAGGGTCAGACTGCAATGCTCCCTTCGCGTCAACCACTGCCCACAGCATCATCCTCGGCCAGCTTGACCAGAATAAGAGAAGCGGGAGTAAGATCGCCTCGTCTCATGCCTAGTGTTTTCGCCAACCAATGTGCGTAATTCGGTCTTGCCCACAAAACGTAGTCCCAGTGGTTTCGTTAGTGACCGGACTGTCGCCAGTGAGCCCTAACCTACCCTGTCTGCATGTTTAGAAGCGCGCCACCTTTTTGGTCTTTTATACACTGGACTTGAGGCTTTTGCTCGTTGCGTTAACAGATGCTGACCACCGAGTCGGGCGAAGAACGCTGTTTCGAGATGAACAAAGCTCAAAGTTGTCACCCTGAACTGTGCCCAACCGCCACTATGACGGCTCCCAGCTGGGCGGATGAAGCGGCGGAAGCAAGCCAACAGGTGCTCAACGAGATCCGGCAGATTGTCGAGGCCGAGGAGACCGCTGGCACTACAATCATCTTCGCAGCCGAGTGTGAAGAACGCAAAAGAGGTGATTGTCTGTCATCCACTCATATATATATACTTAGGAAGATGGAATTCTTTGGGAAACAGTAAGCTTTATTGTGCAAATTTTTGAGACTGTTTCCCCGGCTCGTCTTCAGACTACGAGCGTGCAAAAACAATTAACTTCTAGACCGCGTCTGACAAAGGATTCTATGATTGGTAAAAGTTATATTCTCGGGATTGGTTGAGTCAGTTTGAATCTGTCCTTAACGATTTTGTATGCGGCATCTAGATCGATATGCCGGTTGATGCATGCCTCATCTGAGTGCATTGTCTCCAGGAATTCACGGCCTTCCCTTATTGGGCAGGCTCCAATAATGCGAGTGTTTTCCAATGCAAATTTGTGCCTAGTGCCCTGTGTGCATGGCCACCTGGGAGAGATGGTCGCGTCTTCTTACCGCTGACGTTCATGCATACGGGTTGAGACAGATTTCCCAATTTGGCCACAATAGACGGCATCACAACTAGAACGTGGGATTTCGTGAACAACGCGTTTCCTTTCGTGGTAGCCAACCATGTCCTTAGGGTGTACAAGCTGTGTGCGTAAGGTACAATAATTCAAGGGAAAAGGTATTTCCAGTGCTACGGCCGCTCGGGCACCAAAACCAACTACCTGGCGACCATATGTGAAAAATTTTTCTGAACTTATCGAAAGACAAAAAAGTACCAGGCACACACACGTCGCACGTTTACAAAGTTCACCCTCCCGTACGCGTCAGACGTCGAGGTCAGGGTTTCCGAAATCTCCTCGGCCTCCTCAAACCCAGAAGAGCGGACAGACCTGTCGCACACAGTTCGACCCGCTTAATTTCCACTACTCTTACATCAGGGACCTTGAGCCTCCCTAACTGCCGAGTCTGCTTTATGAAATCATCGCTGGATTCCAAGGCCTGTCACCTGACCAGGCACGCGTGTATACGAGTAGTTCTCCCCGTCCAGGCCGTTGGTCGGATAAGGTGGATTCCACCCAGGTCTCATGATCGCGAATTCATACTTTCCAAGCAAAGCTGTGGTTGTGAGGCGAAGAGAGCAAAAGTTCCTTGGGTTCCCTACTGACCCCTTGAAGTAGCGAGTGCGCAGCATGTCGCCCGTCGGGTCGCAAGGTAGGATTAGGGGGATTGGAGAGGACAGCGTCACTTGACTTGGATTTATTGATCGCACCCAACCAACAAACACGCAGCAGTCTCGATGGACAGGGCACCAGGGTCGCTTTATTCCAATACCAGAAAACTGAACGACCTGACGGCGATCTCGGCTAATGCTGAACATATTTCCCTCAATAGGTACTGAAGAAACAGGCACTGCGCATTTGAAGTAGATGATCGGACCCGTTTCTTCCTGACGCACACCATCAGTGGGGTCGGGATCGAGCTTCTCCGATATAGCTGCTTCCCCATCCTTCATGCGCGCGCACAACACCCTCGAACTGCGTTTAGCCGCACATCCCACACCGACTTACTTTTGAAAAATGTGTCATTATAAATGCTTTTTTCTCCACGCCCGTCCAACTTTGTCAGCGGGTCCGTTTCTCTCCATTTGTCTGATGCCAAAATACCGACACTCATGCCCACTCGTCTGGTGAGCAACGGAAACAGTGACCCTGTCATCTGTCTCCTCCATCTCGTCGAGGAGCCTGGTGCTGAAGTGGCTGTGTGTCCTCCCGAACTACCACAGTGGAGGCAAACAACCTGAAGCCCGTTGGCGACTGGGCGGTTTGCGTACCACGAGTGGGTGTAAGGTCGCGTGTCAAGAAACAGGTCCCGCGCGGGGCGGGATTTTGCGCACGCATCCCGCATCGATACTTTCCTTTTTCAAGTGCAATTAATAACTGTAATAGCCCTTATCGCCTTCCTTTACAGCCCGAATGCAGCTGATCAGAAGGCTGGAAGCCATCAACCACAACCAGACCATCGAGAACTCCTGATACGCCCAATTTCTGCGTAGTCTTCTTCCATGTGCCTATTCGCGGTGCTTTACAATAAACAGACCCTTTCAATAAATGTTTACATCAATGCGCCTCATTACTACCCTTAACTATACGCACGTGCGAATTAGACGGAACCTTATAAGGCAATGGAATGGTGAAAATGAATTGTACTTGTCTAAAAGAATACAGCTTTGTCAAAGGTAGTACTGAAAAAGATGTCTTCTGAAAGATGAGCATGAAGTAAAAGGACGCGACAATTCGAACTGCAATGCGAACTCTGGCCGGTGATTAGACATCCTTGATCAGTCATCTTCGCCATGCAGCGTCTCCTTGTCGAAAATATATTCGCCAAGACCTGGGCCAACATTCCGGAGGTTGGTGACGTACCCGGAAATCTGTTTGATGGAATCCACTTGCTCCTTAAGGTATTCAGCTAAAACGCGTCAAAACTGATTAGACATGACAACAGACACGCTTGGTAATTTACGCAAGCAACTATCAAGAAGGATTCATGGGACGCCAGCAAGATACTATACTCCATAGGGCCCCGGGCAAACAGGAACAAGTACCCAGGTAGTCCGGCCACCTAACAAGGTTGCCCATATGCGTAGCCCGAGTGACGAAAGACCGAGTCAGCAATTTGAGCATGTCGCGCCGTTGAAGTAGTGTACGATGGTGGCACAGCATCGAACAACTCTCAGTGCCTAAATGAGCGACTTTTACGTGTAAAGTGGCTGGCGGAGGTGCGAACTTATATAGATACACTGGTGCCGATAATTATGGAAGAAAAATGGCCCGGTGGGGCTTATAAGCTAACACGGACAAAGGGTTGTAGAACATGAAAAAAAAACTTGGTGGGGAGAATAATACTTACACTCCAGAAAGTCACAGAACTGGGCATCATCTTTTGAGGTGGCAATTCTGTGCAGCTCGAGCAACGAGTCATTCACTTCCCGCTCAATCTTGAGGGCTGTTTCCATAGCTTCCAACCCTGATGACCATTCCGTAACGGCCGGTTTTGCGATGTCCTGCAGCACAATACGGCCGCCACGCTTGTTCTGGTATTTCATAAGCTTTTACCGAGTAAGTGGAAGAGGCGGAATACCTTAATCGCGTGCTCTCTTTCCTCTTCCGAAGCCTTAGAGAAGAACTTGTGGAAGCCAGGCAGCGCAACATCATCCCGGTCGAAGTGATTCGCCGCGGCCATATACAGGTAGCTGGCGTAAAGCTCCATATTTATTTGCTTATTTATGCCCGCCTCACATTCCTCGTGAAAATTCTGCCTAACTGCGCTTGCCATCAGACGTACGGAAACGACTGTCGCGAAGTAACGATCAGCCGGGAAGGACGGCGACACAGACTTTTATAGGACCAACAGGAGCCGCCGAAGTTCTCTATTAGTCAATGGGGCAGGCCGTTGATTGGCTGCTTTTTCCTGGGCGGGTTAGATGGATCATCAAAGTGTTTCATTCAAAGTGCTGGGAAGACACGAGGCACTGGAAATCACTAGATGCCTGGGCAGCTTAGGAATTACCTGAGATAGTGTGTGCAGCTATGATAATGGGTGCAGTAGTTGCGTGACTGTCAGTGCAGTTGTTGCAGCGGCCTAGTTCAGCGAGTAGTTTGTGTTTGTTTGCAAGTTTACAAAACTAGAATAAAAGACTGGAGAACCGACAAGCAAAATGAAACTCCCAGGGGTCCTTTCATGGGCACCCACATTGCTATCGACCTGTGACGACGATATGGGTCCTGTCGATGGATGTTTGGTGACGTGTACTAGGTAAAACCGAGTTAAACGCCCTGTTCGACCGGCGTATACTCCGTTTTTATG